GCATCGAGACTAACTAAATTGGTGCATCTCCCACCATCGATGACCATAGATAATACTTTCCCGTCGACCAAGCAACGAGAGTGGAAAAGATTATCCTTCTGCTCTGTCTCCGTATAAGCTTCAATAGATAAAGCTCTGTGGTTTAATCCAAGAAGTCTACTTATCGGAGGAGCTTCAGCATTGATGTGCTCATAAAAAAAAATTATCATCATCAGAATCGATTTATCTCTCCTTTGGCTTCTTTTCCACCACCTCCTCCTCAGAAAATTATTCGCCATCGTGCAAGACCATAGCCTTCTTGTTTGGGCACTAGTTGGACTTGTGACCTCGTCCCAAGCACTTGAATCGTTGGATGCTTCCAGTTGGTCCTTCATTCATGGATTGAGTGATTGGGGGTCGTGTTCTTAGCAGGTGGTTTGTTACCTTATTGACTAGGTTGATTCATAGTAGTCTCAGGAATGCTCTCTGCAACAGGTTTGGGCGAAAGTGGGTACCTTCTTCTCAAGTTCACTTTCAGATTCCTCTCTACCTTCATATCCAAATGCACACACTTCCTTCAATTCCACAAGTTGACAAACTCGAATTCATGCTTGATCTCTCTATTGAGCCCAAATAGGAAATTAGCAATCGTTGCTTCCTTGTCCTCCCTCACATCTGCTCTAATCAACAGCAATTCAAGCTCTTTGAAGTACTCATCAACAAAAGCTTTCTCCCTGCTGAATTCTCTTCAAGGAATCATGAAGTTCTCTTTGATAAAAAAAGAGGCACGAACCGATCACAAATCAAGCCTCTTAGTTCTTCCCTAGTAGAAACAACAAGTTGCACATTTCTTATTCGTCGAAGCTGAACCCGTTCCCACCAAACTGCGGTATAATGTGTAAACTCATAGGTGGCTACAAGAACTTTCGGATGCTCTGGGAAAGGATTGCACTGAAAGAACAAGATCATCTTCCTCTCCCAGTAGAAGTAAGCTGATGCACTATCAAATCCTTGAAAAGACGAGATTGAGAGCATAATCCCTCGAATCGGATCAACACCGCCCGTAAACTTCCGCTTCTTGTGGTCTTACTCCATAATCATGGTAATCATTCTCATAGTCATTAAATGGAAGTATGTATTGTGGCATCATCTGACCCATGGGTTGATGCCTCTGCATATGCAAATTCAGTGTTTTAGGAAGAACTTTAGGGTCTTCTCGATTCTCAGCTCCTGGCTGCGCCGCTACTACTTCTCAAGTGGATTGACCCTTAGTTGCATCTCGATCATGGTGATTAGGGTATCCAGACTCTTGTTGGTATCAACACGCTAAGCTTTGGTAGCGCCCTACTAGGGCTGAAGCAAAGCTCCCATATGTGCCATCTACGCGGCAAGATGCTTCATGGTTGCGTCAAATTGTTTCTCACCCATGGTTTTTTCTTCGATTAGGGTTTCTTCTTCAGAGATCAATCTTCCTCATCTCTTCATTTTGCAATGGGATTGTTGGACCTCGTACGAGAATCAACAGGTCCTCTGGCCTTCATTCTCGCCACAGTGATGAACCAGAGCTCTGATACCACTTGATACGAGCATGGAACCGACACTCGTATTTGTCAAAGAATGAACAAGAACAAGAATTTTTAGGGGTTTTGTTTGGGATAGAGTGGAATTGAAAGTGCATTCTCAACACAATGATGTAAGAAGGCTCTAACAATATAAATGATAGAATCTCGACCACATTTAAGGGAAAAACTTGATTGATATATAGAAAATTTCTCAAGCCTATAGCTCAAAGAATGAAGATCTAATCAATATTCTTCAGAAACTAACTCAAAACTCGTGCTTTAAGCCATTTATATAGCCCTTTGCTAATGGAAGGCTCATTCCCTTGCTCCAATTGCTATTAATTATTGTGTTGTATTACTTTTATTTATGTTTTTTAGTTGGGGAAGCTAAGAGCCACGAGGGGAGGGGATTCTGGAACTGATGAAGAAGAAGAAGGGGTGGATGGAAGGGAGGAATCATTGGGCTACAGGTGGGAGATTGAAATGAATTTGATTGAGGAAGGAATTTAGGTTTGAGGTTCCAGAGGAGAGTGGAGAGTTTGGGGATGGTTGGATTAAAGAGATTTGAGTAGACATTTACAGGCAAGCATGGGTCGGTTTTAATTGCTCAAATCAGGTTGGGTTGGGATTTTATGATGTGGCAGATCGGGGTTATAACTTTCTCGGGTTTAAATTGACTTAGTAGGCCTTTTTATTAGTCAAGTAAGTAAAAAATTGAACGTTGTTAACCAAGGTTAACAGAGACTAACGACAAGTGACCAAATTTGGACTACTAAACTAATTTTAGAGACCACGAATGAAATGAAATTTTTAAGTGGCATACAAGAAATTGTTTTAGTAATCACAGTGTCCAAACTTGCAATTTACCCATTTATTTTCTATAATTTTTTTGGGTCATGTCGTGGTTTTACTCAATAGGATCTAAAAAACATTCGGCCTACCACAACTCCCTATAGTCTGCGTTGTGCTCGTACTCGTGCTCATGAAGTTTAGACCTGACATATGGCCCATAAATTATTGGTGCTTGTGCCGAGATGGCCCATATATTTCGTGCCTGTGTTCGTGTCATGCTCTAATCGTGTCATGTATTGCTAGCCCGTGGGTGGCCGGCCCGATGCCCAGATACACAGCTAACCATCTTATGTCTCTTTTTAGTTTTGTAGGTTGTCATATGAGTCCAGTAAGTACTAGGAGAAAAATAAAAAATCGAAAGATAGTGCATGATCGTCCAAGAAGCAGGAGCATCGAGTTCACCCATCTTTAGGACAAATGAAGGAGCATCTAGCTCACGAGAAGAGGAGGCTTCAAGTCACACAAATCTTGAGCCAAGCTTTGGAGAGGATGAGAACATTAATGGGGATTGTATCTTCGTTTCCGAAGAAGAATGAGCCTCTTCAACACCATCAATGGCCGAAGAAGAAGGAGAAGGACGTGTGGCCATCCCACCTACTCTCTATGTGTACTCAAGGCCAGCATCAAACATCAACTCAAAGCATTGCTGCACCACCTACCAACATCGTGAGCTTCACTCAACTAATGCAAATAGTGCAACAAGCTGGGAGATTTACAGGAAGGAACGATGATGGTCCCGTGCAACACTTGAAGATATTCTTGGAGATCGCCGACACTATTTCACGAGATGAAGCTCGAAAAATGGAATTCGACTACTAATTTTACCATTCTCTTTTGGAGGAAGGGAAAAGTAGTGGCTATATTACCATCCAACAAACACCTTCACCACATTGGAGAACCTTGCTCATGTGTTCATTGATGAATACTTTCCACAATGGAAGACAAAAAAGTTTAAAGATGAAATCACTCCATTTTAACAGTAGGAAAGAGGGACATTCTATGATGCTTAGAGGAGATTCCAGGAGTACATCAAGGCATGCCCCCATCATGGATTCACAATGAGCAGATTGCAAAGTACTTTGTCAAAGGCTTAGATCGAGATACAACTATGAGGGGGAACCATTCGGCTAATGAGAGTGCAATGCCAAGGACATTTCGTCACACTAGAAAGGATTTTAAAGAACTAGTCCATAAAGCCATCAATAATCAAACAATTGAAAGTTTCGCTAGGAATGGAGGATGATGTCGCCAACTTCTGTGCACATGTGAAGGAGCTCACCCAACAAGTTAAAAAAGCATCAATGGAAAAAAGACTTGTGACAACAGACGGAAAAACCTATATGTTCTCTATCTTGGAGCCAGGTCCGGGAATTGACTCATTGATAGCAACAACTTTTTTCAAGAAGAGCAGAAGTCGGGCTCGCATACTCTAAACCTTTGCCCTTCAATTCCGGGAGAGGGGATAGGGCATTATAGTTACACTAACGACAAGTAGCTGGTAAGGGGTGGTTCTTAAGAAACTATAGGACAAAGACAGAAGAAACCACACAATGGTAGAAGAAACCAAGTCTACCTGGATTTGGAAATCAACCTCAATACAAGGAGTAAAGAGTAGGTGTCTCCAACTAGCAGCGCACCGGGTTTGAGAAATTTGAGGCAATAGTGGTAGTATTACAAATGAGTTACAAGAACATCGGAAGGCAACTTGCACTCATCATTGCAGCTCAACCTCCAAAGCCTCAAGGGAACCTCCCAAGCAACAAATGGAAAATCCAAAGAAGGAGGAAGTTAAAATGATCTCGACAAGGATGGGTGTAGCCAAAATTTGTCGAGCATTAAAAAAGAGGAAAAGAAGAAAGGAACTGAAGTGGCAGTGCCAATATTGGAAAAGATGATTTCAATTGAAGATCTTAAGGTGAAACACAAGATTTTCATCAAAGAAGATGACAATATTAAAGATATGGAGATCACAATCAAGAAAACCCATTGGGGTTACAAAGAGTTCATCTTAGTTAAGGACACCAAAGAGGATGATATGCATTGTGTCATCAAGTGTCTTCTGGATGACCATCACGTGGAATAAGGTATGGTAGACCTTGGCTCAAGTGTCAACATACTACAACTGAATCTATATGAAGAAATGAGACTAGCTGACATGGAGAATGTCCATGTAAAGATAACGCTAGCCAACAACACTCTTTGTAGAGCTCTTGGAGTTGTTAGAGGCCCAAACGCCCAGTTGGCCCATTCATTTTTATACCCTGATCTTGCCAAAAGTCAAAATGACTATCATACTCTCAGGGAAATTTGTCAAATTTCATCTTAATATCGATGAGGACTAAAAATGTGATCCCTCGGCTCAAACTGTGTCGAGTTTCGACATAAAATGAGGAAGTTATGGATATTAACTGAGCTTCGAATTAAACTCACTCGATACCAACCAATCAGAAAATTCCCAAAATGCCCATGGGTTTATTTTAAATTTCCCTCTAGGCAGAGCATAAAACTAACCTAAACCCTAAAGCAGAAGTGAATATCCCAAAACTGCCAACGCTTCTTTCCATCGAAATTCAGCAAACCCTAATCCTCGGCCCTGGACCTGATCGACCCCCTCTCTACCACGAGACCTGTTTAAGCAGAAGGGCCGGCGGCAAAGCTTCCCTCTACTGCATTTTCGGAAGGCAGGCAAAAGTGGAGGTGGGTGGGTGTTGTTATGACCGCTGCGCTGTACTATGACAGCTGCCTGCTTAAGCAAGCAGGAGTCGATTCAGCTGACGATCAGCAAGCAAGAGGCCATTGAGCAAGCAGGAGGCCATCACCAAGCAGGCAGGAGACGACACTTAACCTGTCAGGAGGCGGGATGGGAAACAACTGAAGTCGGAAGCGGAGGCGATACCACAAGGTGCGAGGCTGGGACTTTCAGCCAAAGAGGAGGCGAGGTAAGATGGCCAGGAGAATGTGCCGCCTACTACGAGAGCTGCTTGGTTAAGCAAGTTGAACCTTGTGTCATGACTATCGTCATCTCCTCTATGGACGATTTGGAGCTCCCTCGTACTCCGAGAGCTGTTTGCCTAAGCAAGATTGTCTTTTTGTTATTGTCACCTCCACCCTGACTAGGATGCCAATAATGACCAAAGAAAGCTGGTCCATTTAATTCCATTTGTCAGATAAGTTGGTCCATTTTATTCAAGGAAAGTACGAGTGTAAGAGGGATAATATCTTGGAAGCTAGTATGGAAACTTTAGAGCAAAATCAGTTCGACGGAATTAAGGAGAGTGTAAAGGGGATAAATACTACATCTTACGGTTTTTCCAAGTAGTTGTCTTGAGTATTTCAAATATTGATTTATGATGACTCGATATTTGCACATGTTTTCCTCTTTGTTTCTTGATCGTTTAAGCTTGCATTATTGCTTCTTTGGCCTATTTTACGCTAGGCTGTGTTCCTTTGTCACATTTCAGGTCCTAGCACATAAAGTGAAGCGTAGGCGCAAGTTTCAAGTCAATCGAAGATCAATTGGCGACTCGGGGGAAGAAACTCGGGTATGACTTGAAGAATAAGGGATTTCTACCTCAGTTTGTGACCATATAATCATGTAATCTTGTCATGAGAAGAAATAGGACGAGAATACGAGCATCTGGGATCAAACGGCACCTGATTTGTAGTCCGAACGAGGGAGAAACGAAGAATCAAAGACAGGGGAAAATTGGTTTCGGGCTTCTCTGAGAAACAGAATGGGGCCCTATCGTGACACTAAAATCCCCGGTAGGGGATTTTTGGCCTTGATAGGGGATTTTCCCCTGTCTCCAGACGTTGCGTTTTCAAAAATCCCCTATCGTGAACCAAAATCCCAGGTCGTGACCCAAAAATCCCCGGTCGTGAACCAAAAAATTTCCTGTCGTGACCTAAAATACCCCACCAGGTATTTTGACCGGGGATCGCGAACGCAGGCTGTTAAAAGCCTGTTTTGTGCGTTTTTGCAAAGGGAGAGCTGGGTTTTGGATCCCAAACACCCAAGGGACGAACCAAAGAGAGAGAGAGAGGGCGATTTGAGGGCATTCTTGGAGTGGAATTGGAGGATTTCTTTGCCTTGGAAGCTCGAGGAACAAGCCCGGACTTGAAGACTGATCATCTGAAGATTCTTACTACAGTCTCTCTCTTCTCTATGGAGTAACTTCCCTTCACTTAGGTTTTGAGGAACCCTAGCTATGTTTGTTTGATTGGATGATTGTATGATTACTCTGACTTGATAATCTTGAGTTCATATTCAATCTATGCATGTTTACATGATTCAATTCTGCTTTAGTCAAGATTATTGATTCTGCTTTGATCCTATGAGAGGGAATACCTGATTAGGTCAATAGAGCACCATAGATTGATAGTAGTGGGTCGATTGCTTTAGTCGAGGGTTGATTCACTACTTTGTATCGATTGAGAACCTCTTTCGATAGAGGGATTCTAGTTCAGAACGCCTTGATCAGTTGTTCTAGAGAAGGATACGTCCCTCTAGGCAATTGACTCAAGAGGGCCTTGTTCCTTTAGTCGAGACTCAAGGTCTAGTCAAGGATTCTCCGCATTGTGAATGAAAGTGAAACAAGTTGGAAATCATCAATTGTTTGTCTGGCTAGTGGCTAGGGGGAATCATACCTAAGTGAGTTCCCAACCTGTAATTAGATTAACTTTAACTGTAGTTTGCTAGAGTAGTTTTAGTTCTTTCATCTTAATCTGGTTTGCTAAATAATAAACTGAAGCTGAGTAATAGTAACTCTAGAGACCCGTGGATTCGATATTTATCACTTGAGCCACTATACTGCAGTCCCTTCCATTGGTTACACTTGGCCATTGTTAGGTGTTGTGTTTTAGCGAGTCAATTTACGTGATATATGTCCATTATTTGATTCATGTTTGAGATTGCATTATTATGTTTGATGGTATGTGCTTTGGTTGAGCTATGATTTGAAGTGAATGTGTGTTATTTAATTACCTTAAAGCTTTACGTTTAAGAGTTATTGTTAAAGTTTAAGAACAAGTTCTTTTGGAGAAGTAACTCACCTTCAAGAAGGTGAAGTTGTTTTAAGTGTTTTTAGTCACTAGCGCCAGTCCGTTGCCATTTGAGATCTTTGAGGCAGAGCAACAGTTATGCTCTTAAAGACTTTTAAGATGAGCATCAGTTATGCTCTTGAGATATTTTAAGATGAGCAGCAGTTATGCTCTTGAGAATCATGGAAGAAGAGCCTTCCACGATAAGTTTAAGTTTAAGTTTAAGTAAAGCCTTGGTGGCTTCTCATATGTATGAGCAGCAGTAACAGTAACTCCCATACATTTTTAAGAGTTAAGCTTTTAAACAGTGGAAGTACAAAACAACTTCCACTCAGTTAAGTAAAGTGATCAAGTATTAATAAGATGTTAAACGTAAGGGCGTAGACTGACCCCATCTCACTCACCAATTTGAAGAGCTAGAGGAGGAGTTAGAGGAGCAGTAAGTGAGCAGCGAGTTTGAGGGCAACCAGCTAGAGCAAAGCAGTATAAGCGTCACGGAGGATGCTTAGTCAAGGTTTTTGGTAGCAACAACATTAGAGATTATTAATTATTTACATTTATGATTTTGATTATAGGCTGGAGATCATTTTGAGATTTTAAGTATTGAGTTTGCCCATGTGTTAGGGCGTTGCTTTGAACTACAAGTGTGTGTTTTCAGTATTTTTTTTATGAAAATTGTTTCCGCTGCAATTTAAGATTTGAGTATTTTAGTTTTCAAGGGCATTTTAGTAAAAGTAGTGCTCGGCCGAGCTAGGGTGTTACATTTTGGTATCAGAGCCGGTTTTCCTCTGTTCCTTGGTCCCCAAGGAATACTGGAATATCGGTCTCAGTTTTTAAAGGCTTTAGTTTTAAATGAAAGGAAAATGAGTCAAAGGTCTCCTTTTAAGTGTATGTAGAATCTCCAGTCTACTCTAATCGTATTAAGGTAAATAACTTTAGTCCTAATAAAAGGGTGCCACAATCGCAAAGTTCTATCCTGAGGTATAGGTACGAGGAATCAAAGGAGTTAAAGGAGCACTATGAGGATTTTTCTACTTAACTACTACCAAGTGATCTAATAGGTTAAGATATACAAATAGGAGAACTATAAATCTCTGAAGAAAGAGCTACAATCACTAGATGTCAGTAGCTATAATGATGGGAGAATTTCAGGGTCCTTGACGCTAAGCAGTGGCGAGTCAAGAAATGAAGAGGTACCATGAGGAGTCCCTCAACTAGTTTTAGTGGTCAATGCTATTACAACACCATGACAAGGAGCAATGGAAAGCTTAGACTTCAAGAGAAGCTAGGGTAGTATAAATGAAGTAAAGGAGGAAGTAAGTAGGTTAGATGGGGTCTGAAAGGACGTCAAGAAGTCAATAGTTTAAGGAGGAGAGGAGGCACAATGAAAGAACCCTTATAGACAAACTACGTCACTAGAAAAGAGGGTACATAACCCTGGGAAGTTAGGCCGATGAAAACTCTTTAGAAGGAACAAGACAAGAAACGAGATAAATGATGTAGAGGACAAGTTATGGTCTCGGTACGACCACCATTGGACGAGACGTGGAGGAAAGTGCCACCAAAGTCTAAAGCATGCCTGGTAGCAGATACAAGGGAGTCAATGCATAAGAAAAGACGTGGAATGTGAGAGGAAATAATAGTTAGCTAGTAAATGGCAGTACGAATAGAGAACCGCTTCTCAGCAGTCTGTGAGTTGGATACCAAGATAACCCCGATTTAGAAAGAGGTTATTTGAGACCCTACAACTACCCAGATCACAAAAAGGGTCAAGAGGATGTTGGGACCGTTGAAAGGGGAATGCAAGAGTTCACGATGATCTGTTATGGGATTGTCCTATCCTAATTGGAGGGAGCAGCTAGCCGCTTAGGGTACATGAGGGGTGACATAAGGAGGAACCTCTCTAATAATTTGGAACTAGAGGCCTAAGAGCTGAAGTCTCGAAACTAGCTATAGGAGTAATTCATTACGCCAACCGAGTATAGACAAGTAAGTGGAACTTTCAATAAATGTTCTAGTAACTGACAGAGAATTCGAGGAAGCACATGGAAGTTCTAATAAAGGATGGAGAATTTGGGTAGATGACTCGTGTTCAAGAAAATGCATAGTGGAGTACGATGAGGAAAAGCATTACCAAGAAGGAGGAAATCATTAAGTTACCTCACCCAAGGTGCCCCACTCTGAGTGGGAGCGGCATAGTAGGATGTCATCCAGAGGAAGCGACTAGTTAAGGATAAGTAGACACATTCAGTTAAGCCACTAAGAACCCAGACTATGAGATTAAGGCCATATACAGGCATCAATCTAGACAAAATGACGTGAATGAGGTATGTTAAATCCTACCAAGGGAAATCCTCTATTGGAAGCTTTGACCCAAAACAAAAACGAGAAGATACCCAACAGAGTCGGCAACCAAAGATAGTACAAAAACCCCAACAGAAGGGTAGTAAAAGTAAAGACGCAAGGAGAACACCATAAGACGTTATAGAAAATAGTTCGTCGACTGGGCAATGCTTGCATAAAGGAAAATAGTTAGGAAGGGTCAAGGAGGGAATATGAAAGACATCAAGGAGACAATAGGTGACCGTAGGATGATGTCCAAGCCTCTTTGACAACGAAGTTACTAAGGATGAGGAGATCTAGACCTAACTAGCATAGTGAGCAAGATGTCCTTACAAAGTCATAGAGGGCAATATGATTGCTTCGTATAAGAGGAAATGAACCATCAAGAGAAGAAATAAACTTGCATGGACAGATTGATAAAGATTAAGGATTTGGGGATTTAAAGAACCTAAAGGGGCAGGTGGTGATAGGGTGATCGAATTTCTGAATAGGTAGGTGGTGACCAGAAGTCAAGACCATGGCCAAAGGATTCAGGGAGTTGGTCGCAAACTAGACAAAGATGCAAAGGATGCCTTTAAGGCATATAGAAAATAAGAGCAGTAGAGTGAGGTTTCAGGGTTAAACAAGAAGTATTGAGGAGATGACTATTCAGTTGATGGATAAAGGGAGAGACGAAGAATTTTGGAAGAAAGTAAGAGATTCAAAGTTAGAAGGTGCAAGGACCTAAGTGATCTACGTGGTCAACCACAAAAGAGGTTACGTTAAGAGATT